AGAGAGAGAGAGAGAGAGAGAGAGAGAGAGAGAGAGAGAGAGAGAGAGAGAGAGACGAGCACCCACGTAGTACGGGGCGTTGTGTCGTCGTATCCTCTTGCTCCTCTGAGGCCTAGCGTCTCCTGGGCACCCCGGGTGTGAAGGGTGGCCTTGGCGTGGTATGTGCCAGTATGGCCTGTTGGGGCTGTTGCTGAAGACTAGAGCTCTGCTTCGAAGACTACGGGCGATAGATCCAGGCTCGAGATAATTTGAGAGAGTGGGGGGAGAACCTCTTCGGGGACGCTCCGGGCGGTTTCCCGGGGTTTCGACCCGTGTGGATGCTTGGACTGTGGTTCTCTTTTTCAATCCATGGATTGCAAATAGTCGCGCCCCGTTTTCAGCGTACCCTCTTCGCCAGCCGAGAGGTCTGCTTCACCTGCTGTCTGCGGTATGCAAAGATTCGTTTCACCTACCAGCGTCCTCTGCACCTGGGTTAAAACGGTGTGGGGAACCCACGTGCACGATCACGAAGCTCGTGTCGTGTATCCACACATGCCCGTGCGGTCGATGGATGCACGCGTTTTGTGGTCGCGGCATCGGGAAGGAAGGCTACGGACAGCAGAGAAAGTGCACGGAATGTCAGAAGACAGCACCCGGAAGCAGGACCGGCAGCCCTAGCAGTCCCATGGAAGTGGATGATGATGACGAGCAGGAGGAAAGCAGGTGACTTACTGGTGTACAGCAGTCCTTCGCAGCGGGGCAATCTACTGCTGCTGTACAGAGCGGAGCGTCTACCTGCTGTAGTGCTGCACGCATCGGCCAAAATCTGATTGACCGTCAATCCGGGACGTGTCAATGCACCGCCCTCCGTTCCTATTTGGGTTCATACGTCACACGCGANAAAGTGCACGGAATGTCAGAAGACAGCACCCGGAAGCAGGACCGGCAGCCCTAGCAGTCCCATGGAAGTGGATGATGATGACGAGCAGGAGGAAAGCAGGTGACTTACTGGTGTACAGCAGTCCTTCGCAGCGGGGCAATCTACTGCTGCTGTACAGAGCGGAGCGTCTACCTGCTGTAGTGCTGCACGCATCGGCCAAAATCTGATTGACCGTCAATCCGGGACGTGTCAATGCACCGCCCTCCGTTCCTATTTGGGTTCATACGTCACACGCGACAAAGTGTAGCGTTGTTTTTGTACATGTTCGTACGTAGGAGTAGACAAGCCAAAAGTAGCCGTTGCGTAGGACGCAGATAGGATATACCTGGAGAGGTATGTGTCGAGACAGTTGGGTGAGAGCTCGGAGCCCCCGTTTTTCTCGTGAGTCCGGGGCACTCTCTCCTTCCGCTCTCTCTGCCTTCGTGCCTTTTCGATCGCGTGCTAATTCAACCAGTTAAACAGCAGCCCCAAGTCCGCACGGCAAGTACTGTTGCCAGAGCTCACGAACACGCTAGCGCTTCTTCCCGGGAAAATCTGCTTTGACAGAGCGGACCATGGCGTTGAATCAGGGTGACGCCGGGGTTCCAGCAGCCAGCGTCAACGACACTGAACTGGACGCTCGGTTGACTGGCATGGAACAGCGGTTAGGCTAAGCGATGGAAGGCAGGATGCAAGCCATGATGAGCCAGGTGATGAGCCAGCTTCCATCGTTGATGAGGGGAGCGTTGGATGTTGGAGGTGTTCAGCAGGAGGAGGAGTCCGGCGGTGACGTAGGGGCATCGACAGGGGCCAGCGGTGACGCTGCCGCCCCGAACAGCAGCCAGGGGTCCGCCGCGACGGGCACAGTGGGTGTAGGCGGCTACGGCAGAGGATATGGCTCCCAAGGTGACAAGGTGAGGCAGCCGCAACCGGCGGTGGCGTTGGTGGTGTTTTCGTCAGCGGTGATGTCGCTGGTGAGGGTCTTTTCACGGGAGGCGGCGGAATTCCGAAACTCGCCGCGTCTCACGTAAACCCACCACAGCTCAAGAAAGGGGCCGAGCAGTACCCGGGGTGGAGGCAGGATATGATCGTGCAGGCAGGCATTCTCGACATAGGCGATGTGTTCTCCGGCGGCGGGGTGCTGCCGGACATCAACAAGCCACAGACCGCCCTTCTCGAGCAGGGGTTTTCGTATGCAGCAATCCGCAAGACGTATCTGGCGTGGAATTTCCTCTCTGCCGCGTTGACTACTGAGACGGACAAAGCCATCCTCCGTCGTTGCACGAACCCAAGGGAAGCCCTGCGGCAACTAGATGCGGCATACCTGCCGGAGACACAGGGTGCACAGCAGCAGCTTTTCAGAGAGTTCCAGCAGTACCAGACTCCTCGGAAGGAGAACCCCGTCGCCAGTTTGAACAAGCTCATGGGTATGGCCAACATGATGCGGCAAGGGGGCGGAGCCACGGTAAACGACCAGTTCGTGTTCGCCCGACTTATCGATTCGCTGCCCAACCCCGAATACGAAGTCACCAAGCAAACCTTGTCGGTGGTCCAACCGCTGACGAGGGATATCTTTGTGCAACAGCTCTCAACCCGATTTAACCTCCTCACCGAGGAATGGCGGAAGGAAGGAGAAAAAGGATCCGGGGGGGAGCAGGCGTACATTGCGGGTGACGGCACCGGGAAGGGGCGGCAGGCTGGCGGCGGCCGCGGCAGTAAGAGCAACGGCCGTGGCAGCAAGAAGAAGGCGGGGACGGACGACCGGGTCGACCACCGGAGGTGTTTCCGGTGCAACCACCGCGGGCATAGGAAGCCCGACTGCACCACGAAGGAGGAGGACTTCCTGGAGCAGTGCGACACGTGTTCGGGCTTTGGGCACAACAGCGAGAAGTGTGCGACACCCACGGAGGAAGCGTGCATGGCGGTAGTGGAGCATGCCAACTTCGCGGTGGTGAGTTTCGAAGAGCAGTACGACCGCGCGGAGGAACTGTGCAAGATGGATCCTAGTTGGGAGAAGCTGACCGAAGACGAGAAGGAAGCAAAGGTGCAGGAAGTGATAACTGAAAGTTTCTAGGGTGGACAGGTGGTGTTGCTAATACGGTACGGCAGGTTGGCCGTAGGCCCTCAGCGCCGCTGATTTGCGGTGGGGGGGCCGGACGAAGTCGCGCGGAGGTGGCGCGCAAGCACAGCATGGACAGAGGGGCCATGAAAGTCGCACAATTGACGGTGCGCACTCCATCTGCGGGATAGGAGGCGGTGGAAAGCAGGGACGGTAGAGTGACCGTTGGGCAGAATAGCCGGAGACACCCTACCATGGATTGACCGCGCGACGGCGTGTGGGGGGTGGGCGCCGCACTCGCTTGACGCGGGCGGTGTTTTCTCTAAGTTGATCACAGGCACGGCAGAGTGGCCGTGCACGCCCTACCACGGTTGACACGCGCGACGGCGCGTCGGGGGGTGGGTGCCGCATCACGCGTGAAGCGGGCGGCATTTTTCAACCACAGCACGGACGGAGGGGCCGTGGCTGTCATGCCTTGCCGTTTGGAGCCGTGGGGGTAGCACTTGAAGTCGCGCGGAGATGGCGCGCAACCCAGCACGGACGGACGGGCCGTGGCTGTTCTGCCTCGTCGTTGGAGCGGGGGGTCGCAGCATGTTTTGTCGCGCGGAGGTGGCGCGCAACCATCAGCCGGAGGTGGGCATTTGGGGTGGGGCACAGCGATATGGCGGTGTCATCAAAGTCGCGTGGAGAGTCGCCGCGCGCATTTCATAAGCCGGGAAGGGACGATGGAGATCGGGATCGGCAGGATCGACTTGTGGACGATCGAGGGCGCGCTTCATCTTCACGATTGGAACTGGTGGAGTGGACGGGCAAGCTTGATAATTTTTTCTTGTGTTTTTCTTCTTTCGACGCCAGTTTACGGGTGTCGGTGAAATCCGAATTTTCAGGCGTTCTTGATCTTGTTTCGTTTTCTTTTTTTTTGTCGTTTCTTTTGACGGTAATTTTTTTTGGTTGCCGAATCCAGTGGTAATTCTCAGGTATACATGTTGTCGTTATACATCGTGATGTACGCTTTGCGCTTCTTGACCATTTTTTTTGTTGTGTCGAGGGCTCATATCGGTGACAGGTGTGTCGGTGATGGTAGCAAAGTGGGGGGGGATGAAAACGTGCACGTTGG